CCTGTGCTGTGGGCTGCAACTTCCAACAACTGCTGTCATTTCTATCCAGTGCAGGATCAGAGCAAAGGCAATTACACTTTGCACTTTTTACTTAAGTCTAAATTTAATTCCTCTGTGTACACCTGGCTGGAAGAGAAGATTGCAGAGACAGCCACTGTAGTATCAGGTGTACAAACCCACAGCTATTACCCTTGGGAATGAATCCTGGATACAGGTGAACAGCACTGTTGCTTATTTTGTAAAGAGGATTATGTGCTCCTAGATTCCCATACCACACTCCAAAAATCCCCACAGAAACAGGAGAGCTGAGTCATCACATATTTTTCCTTCAGTCATTTTTCTTTTCACTACTCCATTGGTCCCCAATGACTATTCAAACATCCTCAATGGACAAACATGCACCAAAGACAAACATCTACACATTCTTGAGACATGACAGAGGAGACAGGTCAAAACAGAAGTCAGTGACCAGGAATAGAATCTAACAAAATCAACAAATGTGCTTTATGGACACCAAATCTCAGTATACATTTTCTTCTCTTGCTCTTTACAAAAATCTGGCTGGCTGGCACGATTTGTTTATTGGTCAGATATTCCCCTGCAATGCTGCCTTCTGAGTAAGAACCAAGAGTGTAAAAAGCCTTCATTAACTGCACTCTTGAATAACATCAACAAAGTCCATGCAAACCAAACTGCAACTCTTTCTTTGCAGTCCCATGCCATTTGTGAGATAGAATGGACCCCAAATCATTAAATCGGTGAGCAAAGGATCACATACCAGCAGGAACAATCTAAGGATCCAGTTTTATTTCCCTAATCCCTTGACTAATACAGCCCAGTGTGAAGAGACTACATCAGGAACTATCAAGCACTTGCCAACTTCTGATCTCCAAAAATTAGCACAGCAACACAAAAAGAAAAGCTGGGTTCTATTAACATCCTGAAAACAGCTGGATATATGCATGTGACTCTCAGTCCCTCTGATACTGATCAGAGGCCAAAGCAAAAGAGCAGTCCCAGCCCCCTTTGCCCACCTCTGCAGCATCCAGCACTGCCAGCAATCAAGAGATCAGCAATCCCACATTCTCCTGATGACTGCTGCAGTGCCAACCTTCCACAGAGGGACAGTGCACTGAATACTGCTAGTAACTGCTCTGCACAGTAGAACTGTTTACTAGTATTACCTAATTCTTCTTCCATGGTGGGACCTTTATTCTGAGAGTTGGAGACACCGAGCACTCTGTTGAAGAGTATGGAAAAGGCACTGCCCCACACACCTGAAAGAGTCAACAGTAAAGCAAGTTGGTAACAGAAAATCCACATATTTTGAAGCACAATTTCAGCAGCTGCTTGCTCTTTGAACACACCTCTGATTTTGAGACATGCGAAGTCATCAGCTCAAATGTACATGCCCAATACATGAAAACCAGAAAACAAAAAAGAAATACCAATCCATGTCTGTGAAATCTTTTGAATCATAGAATCCTGGAATGGTTTGGGTTGGAAGGACCTTAAAGCTCATCCAACGCCACCCTGCCCTGGGCAGGGACACCTCCCCCAGCCCAGGCTGCTCCAAGCCCATCCAGCCTGGCCTGGAACACTCCAGGGATGGAGCAGCCACAGCTGCTCTGGGCACCCTGTGCCAGAGCCTCAGCACCTCACAGGGAGCAATTCCTGCCTAATATCCAATCTAACCTGCCCTCTGGCAGCATAAAGCCATTCCCCTTGTCCTGTCACCTCTCTGCCTGTATGTAAAGTCTCTCTCCCTCCTTTATATAAGCCTCTTTAGGCACTGGAAGGAGCTCTAAGGTCTCCCTGGAGCCCTCAGGTTCTCTAGGCTGAACAACTCCAATTCCCTCAGCCTGTACATCTTCTAACAACCTGGGAACTCTGCTTCTTGTTTCACACTTTGTGTGACTATTCAAAACTACTGACATTACTTCTAAGTCTCTTTCTGTCACGTACTCACCCATCAGGAAATGCAAGGGATTTTCATTATACTTCTTCACCACTGTCCCCATGAAAAACTTGCTTCCAAACAAATCAGGAGACATGAAAGTGCCATACTTGGCCATCCCAATCTCATATGGACTGAATTCCACCCAGTCTGCAAAACCAGAAACAAAGCTGTGCTTAGTCAGCAATCTCACCCTGAATAGAGACAGGAGGAAAATGCATAAATGAATGAAACCTCTGTCCAAGCAAAGAAATTTCAGTGAAGTGAGAAGCTCAGTAACCAACAGGAATCTCTCACGGGTTGTGAAGAAGCCAAAATTTTGATTTCAAATGGAGGACAGTGATGTCTCAGCAGGGAAGGAACTCTCCTCTCTTATCACAACGATCTTTGGTGAAAGAAAACCAGGTTGTGAAACCAGAAGTATAAAAGGAGCTCTCACGAATGAAAAAAGCACAGTGACATCTGGTTTTCATCTCATGCTTCAACATGACTCCCTGCCACACAAAACTCAACGTGGGCCTCAAAATGTGGAGGGCAGGATGAAAAGCAGCAGAAAAATTACTGACTGTCACAAAAGTTGTGAAAATTCTAGGAGAAGCATTTAGATTCTACCCAGACCTAAAGTCTCTGGGGAAATCCAATATGAAAAGGCAAAGCTGAGAGGCAGCTGAGAAACTTATGGATCCAAACATTGCCACAGATATTTCTGAAAGTGTCTTTTATTGAACAGAGAATCAAGAAAAACACAGAATAAAATGTTCAAATGCATTTTGGTGATCTTAGCAGAAAATGTCAGAAGTGATTTACATTCCCTTCATTTATACCTTCTTGAAAATGCATTTTAGTTTACTTGGAAATACTTCCTTTGATACCAGTGGAGCTGCTTACATCAGAAAACACATTCCGAAGAGGGAGCGATAACAGACAGAACACATCCTGCACTTGCAGTGTTTCACCCATCCATCCATTTCACCTTCCCTGTCTTTGGCAGCGCGTGGTGACTGTGTAAGCAAGTCAAACAGCTCTGAAACAGCAAGGCAAAAGGCAGAGCTCTGAGGAGTCCCCACGTCTCCCCCACCCCTCCAGACACGCAGTGCTGAGTGTAAGGTGAACACTTGTGCTGAGAAGGAAAGAGTCATCAGCCCTGACCCCCGAGCTGCACAGGGCAATGCTTATCTCTGCTAGGTCAAACACAGCATCCTATTTTCCAAATAAGCCACCCACACGTCCTTGCACTCACAGGAGCAGAAGGAAACTCCTTTGGAGACCCAGTCCAGGAAATTCATGGCTCACTTTACGAACAGGACGTGGCAGGTATGTATTCAGAACCAGGGTGACAGCAAAACTGAACTGGGAATTAGAGACTGCTCAAACCACATATCCTGCTCAGGGAAATGAGATTTCTGCCTTAAAATCAAGGGGCCTCAGCATTAGCTGCTGCCATTCCAGAAGCTCCTTGACACAGTGGCTTCTACCAGCAACTGAGGGGTCCCTCTGGATCCTAGAATCCATCCCTCAAGGCAGCAACATTTGCTTCCCAAATGGATCCTGTAGCATCTACTGGTACAGAGTGATACACACACTCACACTCTCTCAGACTATGTGAAATGGCTATAATGACTGCAAGAGCAAATCCCCAAAATCCAAGCCAAACCTTAAATTCCACTCCCCTCTTCAACCCTGTATATCTTCAGGTAATTTGTTATCATTAGAGAAGCCATCACAATTAGAAAACTGTCTTACTAAATGACTGTGACTGGGTTCAGTGAAATGCTTGTGCAGTTTGGCTGTGGGCAGCACCACCTGGGGTGGTGAGCAAAACACGCAGGGCCTGAGGCAGCACAGCTGTTAACAGCTGCCTGAGATCTTGCACCATCACAGAAAGGATGTTATCTCATATCATTAACCCATTTCAACTTGAAACAACATGAAAGACCTCACATCTGGAATCAAGTAAATAAGAAGTCTAAATATCTCTGTTCAAAACTTACTATATCTTTCACATCAGGAATAGCAGTTCAGTTTTAAAGGGAGGAAAAAAGCTTAAAATAGAAGCAATCAAGATCTAGCTCCCTATATAATGATAGCATCAAAACCAAAACCCAAGACCCACTGCCAGAGGCAATACCTCTTTAGACCAAACAGCAAAGCCTTTGGGTGCTTCTGGCCTTGCTTAGAGAAAGCCATTATTAACTAAAGATCATTTTGTTTTTAAAACAGTAAATAAGTAACCCGAGTACAATTTATCAGAAAACAGAAGCTCAGCTAAAAACCAAATTACTTCTGTTTTCAAACAGAAAAGTATTGGTGTCCTAAGTAAGGAAGTTAAAGACACATTTTCCCATTAAACATGCAGCCTAATTTACAACCTCATTTCCCATTCCAACCAGCTTTGACAGCAGCCTTTCCAAGAAACTACTGCAGGACACACAATGTCTCTCTTACAAGCCTTTGGTAAACCTCCTCGGTCCTGTGTGTAACTGTATACAGACAGACACATCCTTCTTGCTGTGCAGCATCCAGCACAGCTCTCAGCTGAAGTTACTGGATGGAATTAAAACCTAAGCAATGAATAAGCCTTCTCTTCTCCAGGCAGAACAACCCCAACTCTCTGTGCCTTTCCTCCCAGCAGAGCTGTTCCAGACCTCTGATCTCCTTGGAGCATCCTCTGGACTCTCTCCAGCAGCTCCCTGCCCTCCCTGTGCTGGTGCCCCCAGAGCTGGAGCAGCACTGCAGGTGAGTCTCACCTGAGAGGGGCAGATTCCCTCTCTCCTCACCTGTGCCCACAGGGGGATGCACCTACTCTGCATAACATACATATATATATATCCACCTACCTCAGCAGGTGATCACTTATCCCTGGGTAACCTCCTGTTATCCCTCTGCTGTCAGATTCCCAGCAGCCAGATACAATTATTCTCAGAAGTACTTTTAAACCAAGGGGGTTTTTGTTACTTATTCTCAGAAGTACTTTTAAACCAAGAGGGTTTTTGTCATCCACACACTTCTCTCTCCTTCCCACGAGCGACACAGGGTGAAACAAACCTGCAAACATCAGCTCTGAGACATCTGGTTTGACATGGAGACACGTGAAGAGTGGCAGAGCACACTGTGCATTATTGACCTTCTCCTTCATGTGGCTCAAAGTGGAGTCCATTCTCTGCAAGGAAAGAAAGACATCGGTTCCAAAGGGATCCTACAAAGGCCTGGTGATATTTATAGATATAGAAATGTCATATATTCCTGTTTTATCTATATGTTTATATAAGGCCTGAGAGACTCCTCCTTTCTCTGAATTTTGAGAAGGAAAATGGACAAACCCAGTTACTTCTAAGGAAAAACAGAAGTGGTAAAAGGAAGCAATCTGCTTGGATGCCTTCTAGCTGCACCGTTAAGGCAGGAAGGAATGGGAGAAGGCATGACAGGAAGATGAAATGGGCAAAAAGCAAAGTGTTGCTGGGCAAAGCAAGTTCCTTCCTTTTCCTACTGTAAAAGGTGAAAGCAAGGAAAAACCTCTCAGACAGAATTAGGCAACGCTCTTCAATCCATGCTGCTTCTGAAAGTCACCCAAGATAACACAGAAAAGCAAAGGGCCTATGAGTTTGCTAACCCAGGACATGCTTCTCCTCCAGACAACACTCTGGAGTCTGCAGTCAAGGAAGGCTGAACGTCATTGTGAGGCAGCAGCACTGAGAGCTTTGTCTGTAAATAGCCAAGAGCCTTATTTCCCTTTCTCAGTGCTGTGTCGGGTGCCTGTTGCTCAGTCCCGCAGGGAGCTGGAACCAGGATCACAGGAGCACAGCAATGCCTTCAGCACCAGAGTCTGCCCATCAGTCACTGGAAGCCATGGGGCCTGTTCTGCATTTCACAGGGCTCAGAACCTAATGGCAATGTTTGCTCATGAAAGACACAGGTGTGCAAAGCACATCTGGGACTCTCAGCATATTTCAGTTTTGCCAGGAGATCGAGTCTGACATACTCACCTGACCCACTGTGTGCCTGACTGAGGCAACTGGGGCTTTTCAGGAATAAACACAACAGGATGAAGCTCTCCTAGTGTCACCTCTCAGAAGAAATAACTAAGGATGTGAATGTTTCATCTTGAGTTAGTATTTTGTTAGGCAAAGGCTGCCTGATACAGGAAGAGGCCATGCCATGCTGTGAATTTTGTTGGAATGGCCTGAGCAGCAATTTCAATGGTGGACACACAATGCCAAGAGCTCCTGCGAGTACCCAGAAGGTGAGTTCATTCCTGTAGCACATGAACGCATGATGCTTTCCTAGCTCTCAAAGCACTCCCAGAGCAAGGGAAGCATTTTACACGTTTCTTATCCAGTATTTGTTCAGCTGTAACTTTAAACATTCCTATTTTTAGCCATGCTTTGTTAAATGTTATCAAGGTCACTTCAAAGACAATAGTAGCAGCGGTGATGATGCAATGGTTCCACACCTCTCCTAACCACAAAAAACCCCAGGACTCACATCATGGATCAGTGTTTCCCCTATCAGCATTCCAAAGATGTCTGTGAAGGTGACAGGCTGCCCCGAGCTCTTCTTATTCCACAGAGCTTCGATGTAGCGTTTGACTTTCTGCGGGGTCAGCAGCAGGAGGGGGTTGTGGCTCACCGAGTTCATCAGTTCTTCATTAATCTCCTTTGGGCCCTTTGCTGGAAAATCTGGGTGTGAATACAGAGTTGACATGTACCTGCAGTGGAAAACATGCACAGTGAGGATCAAACCTGGTTCGGTGGCTGTTGCCTGCAAGCTACAATAAACTCAAAAAAACCTGGATACAACTATTGATTAAATCAGGTTAATTAACTCGCCATTTATACAGTAAATTGACATTTCTCACGGCACAGAAAGGTAAATAATTTGTTCTAAATATAAGCATACCATCAAACTTTTTTTTTATTTAGAGGAGGAGGAGTAGCCCTCGATGTCAATGAGCAATTGGAGAGTGTGGAGCTCAGCCTGGAGATGGATGAGGAAGCTATGCTTAGGCACATGGAAAGCAAAGAGGTGATCAGGAATAACCAGCATGGCTTTACCAGGGGAAGTTTGGTGCCTTCTGTGATGGGGCTATGGAATTGTGGCTAGGGGCAGAGCAACTGATATCATCTACCTGGACTAGTGCAAGGCGTGTGACACTGTCCTGCACGACATCCTGTCTCTGCATGGGACAGCCATGGCTGGGATGGGTGGAACACTCAGTGGATAAAGAACTGGCTGGACGGGCTGGTCACCCTGACACTTCTCTTCCCCAGACTGAACAATCCCAACTCTCTCAGCCTTTCCTTCCAGCAGAGCTGCTCCATCCCTCTAACTATCTTGGTGCCTCCTCTGGACCCCCTCCAACAGCTCCTTCCCATGCTGGATCCAGAGCTGGAGCAGCACTGCAGGTGAGTCTCACCTGAGAGGGGCAGAGTCCCTCCTCACCTGCTGCCCCCAGCACACAGTGGGCTTTGGGCTGCAATACGGCACACTTCCCAGGATCTAGATGCTTCCATAATAAACTGAAGCACTATAACCACAACCTGCATGGACAGCTAATTGAGTGTGAGGATTTGGAAGAGGCCTGTCAGACAAATCTTGATTTTGTTACTGAGAAACAAGTTTAGTTTACTCAAAACAAAGTTTAGGCACACATGCAGGCAACATGGTTTGCACTTGACTGGATTAAGCAACACCTAGACCCAAGATAGCCTTTCCTAATCTACCAGATTAGACTATTCTTTACTCAGTGACCTGGCTGAGGTACACACACCACAGTGCAGCAGAGTTCGGAGACACACTGTATCAGCCTGGGCCTGAGATCACTGCCCAGCAGCTAATCTGACAGCACCAACACGTCACACATGTGATGTGAGAGCTCCAGGGCTGAGCATGCACGTCAGCCCCGGGCACGGACACAGCAGAGAGCTGCCACGGGCAGGACAGGCAGCTGAGAGCTGCACGGGCTGAAGCAGGATGGCAGAGACACTCAGGGAGGTGAACGCAGAGCTGTGAGAGCTGCACGGGCTGAAGCAGGATGGCAGAGACACTCAGGGAGGTGAACGCAGCCCCGAGGTTAGGCATGCAGCTTAGTGAACAAGCAAAAACCTGCCTCTCCCGCCGGGAAAGGAACTCGCCACCCTTCAGGGAAAAAAAAAAAGAGAAGAGCATTATTCCCAAGTAATAGACTTCATGGAAAGAAAGAAAAGAAAGGGAGTGCCAAAGTGTCAACTTATTTATTCATTGAGGAAGGAAAGGCTGAAGAGGTGACATCAGACAGCAAAAGCAAATTTGTTCAAACACAACTGTTCCTAAGGTGTTTCTGACTGAAGCAGTTCAGATAATCTTGCTATTTTAACACAGATTTTACAGGTTTACATTAGATCAGCTACGTATTCAGCCCTGGGTTTTCCCCAAAAATCTCACAGCCAGCTGAGTGACGTCTTCCCCAAGTCTGGATTGCAAACCCTTCCCAAACACACAGGGAATGTTTTCCCACAGAACATTGCAGTATTCCATGGCTCTTCATCCAGTCAGATGGTACCTCCTGCTTTTGAGAAATCTGGCAAAAGTACATCCAGCTCTCTCAAGGGACTGAGATAGGTCTGCCCCCTCCCAACCACAAACCCAGGCACCAGGGATGCCAACCTTTTATAGTCCAATCATACTGAGAAACTTACTCTAGTTCATAGACACTTCCAGCATTTCAAAACCTCCTGGCATTCTGAAAGCTTCCACCTAGTCTGGAATTGGGGAAGCAACCTTCTCACAATGAAAAATAACTGACAAAAACACCTACACAAGGAACAGGACAGATTATCTCCTTCAAAAGAGTTAACAACTTTAGGTCATTTCCTCAGAATGTGTGGAACCAAAATTCCTGTGCTTCCTTAGGAGTTAAACCAGGGCATAGAATTCCTCCCAGACGGACTCCCTGCTCATTTACATTTAGGCATTCCAACAAAAGTCTTCTTTTTTTTTCCCTCTCCAAGGAATGAAGCATTCCTACAATCTTACAGTTTAGACTGGCAGGACCCTTGAGGTCTCTGCTCCAACCTCCTGCTCAATGCAGAGCCACTGTAAAAGTCAGATCAGGTTACTCATGGCTTTGTTCAGGCAAGTTCTTCTTTCACGTGAGCATTGGCTGAGTCAGATGGAGAGAGGATGACACTGCATCCAGCCTAGTCAAGTATGGATGGGTCAACACATTCCAGTGCTCGGCCACTCTCACTGCAAAATAGTTTCCCTAACAGATAATCTCATTTCTCTTGCTGTAATTTATGGCAGTCACTCCTTGTCCTTTCACCTGTGCATCTTCAGAAAGGGTCTGTTTTCCTCTCAGTTACTCCTCAGGAAGCTAAAGATAAGAGTGAGATCTCCCACTACCTTTGCCTGCTTCTCGAGGCCGAACGGGGCCTGCTGCCCCACTCTGTCACGTGCACTGGAGCCCCACTTGCCTCAGTGCTACTCTGGGGGAATGAACCTGTTTATTAACACCTTTCTTGTACTAGACGGCCCTAAACTGGATTCAGATGCAGCTCCAGTTGTCAAACTGGAGCAGTTATGATAAAATCATATTCTGTGACATTTGGGATGCTCCTCTGAAAAGTTCAAAATTTTCTCCAGATGCAACATCCTCTGCTGCAACCTGGTCCTGTGACATCAAAACCAGATTTTAAAGTCAGACTAAAAGAAGTCTGCAAGTTTTCAATGAATGAATTGTCATGTTATGGAGTTCAAACAGTTAAGAAATTTGGCCTGAATTTGCCAGATGTCTTTGGCTGATGAAAATGACGAAGCTTTTAAATATGTTCATCATCTCTGTTCAGAAATGTGCAAATAAATAGTTTCAATGCTTGTAATAAGTGTAATTTGGGACTGTTTTTATACCAGCCAAGAGGACAAAAGGCGACAGGTTCAGAGCCCTGGGCAGGGAGAAGAGAAACCCTCTCACTCAGGAGTGGCTGAGGAGAGGCAGAACGTGGGGTTCAAAGCATCCTGCTGCCTCCAGCCCCTTCCACACACTGACGTGGCTCTGATGACTGCTGTGGACACTGTCCCTGTCAGTGGGCTGAAGCACTCAGTGAGTCAGACAGCAGGACACCATACCTACCTGATTAGAGCATTCTAACTGAGACCTCTTGGAAGGTCTTTACTCCTGGACTGACTAACGAAGTGTTTTCAAAACCAATATAATTTCTAAATTAAGCAGTGACACCAGGAGTGAGACAAGACAATCCACAGTGGGATGCCCTGCAGCATGGCAGTCAGGTCCTAGACACCCACAGCAAATCCACTAAGGCAACTACTGAGCCTAAAAATGAGCTTTTAAAATGGAGCAAAAGATCTTTCAGTGATTTTGAGAAGTCCTGACAAGTTCCCCCACAGTACACAATGCATTTGGGGTGGAATGAGTCATCCTCTTCAAATCACAAGGGATTTTCTTTTTTCCATTTCATCAGGAAAAACAAACAACACATACAATATTCTGGATTTATACCAATGCATTGAAATCTTAGTTTTCTGGTTATCAAGACAAAAGAATCAGTTATGCAGTCCCAGTACATACAGTATTGGCTCTTGACACAGAAATGTGGGTGCATGTATGGCACCTCTTTCCACCTCTCAGAGCTCCTAGGAAGAGCACCCGGAGCCTCTGAGGCACTCTGCAACACCTTCAGCAGCAGAGCTGCTCCACGATCCGCCGCGCCGCAGGAGAGCTGCGTCCGCACGTCCTTCCTGCATTGACGCCGCGCGCGTAAACTTGGCTGCGAATAATAACCTCGCAAACGAGTCAGCTCTCGTGAAAATTCATTCTTGAGCATCCTGCATTGAAGCTGAAGAGAAGCAGAAGCCCAAGGCTTACCAGGTGGATCCAGACAGGCCGGCGACGTAGGTGGCGCAGTCCAGAACTCCTGACTCGTACAGCGCCTTCATGACGCCGGCGAAGCCCACCATGGCGCGGAACCCTCCTCCCGAGCCCAGGATGGCCACCACCGGCACCTGCGGGACAAGCAGCGCGTGGCACGGCAGCTCCACCACGCAGAGGGGCACAGAGCCACCCTGCCTGGCACCAGCACAGCACGCGCACACCCTCGCGGCGCACGAGAGCCCTGTGCTCTTCAGACCAGAACACAAGTTCTACTGAGCCAAAACGAAGGTATTCTGCAGCCTCTCAGTGGTATGTCCTGCCCAGGCCATCCGAACACTGCACCCTGTGCTGAGAGAAT